TAGAATTGCAAATCCGTAGCGCATGCGTATGCTGAGCAGCGCCCTCTGAACGGCTGATGGATCCGAATAAATAGACGGCTGTAGCGAGGCGTGTATGGTTATCGGTGGTTATCTGCTAGTGGTAAACGTTAACTCAATCTGTACTTATGCCTCGTCGACGAAAGAGAGCGAGATTGAACACTTACAGAGTTTGAACGAGGGAGAATCATCGGCCTTCGTGAAGCTGGATTGTCGTATCGTGCAGTAGCCTCTCGTGTGCAGCGTAACAGCAGCACAGTGATGCGCGTTTGGAAGCAGTGGACGGACGAGTGTCGGACAACTCGGAAATCCGGGAGTGGACCCCGAAATGTGACGTCAGCTCGCGATGATAGACCCTGGTCCGCATGGCGCGGACGGACAGTACAGCTTCCTCTAGACAATTGGCAGCACTGTGGTCAATAGCTACAGGTGTTTCATTGTGTGCTTCATCAATTCGTAGACGTCTGCTGCAGTGTGGACTGCGCGCACGGACTCCTTTATACAGGATCCCCTAACGCACGACAATCGCCGCCTGCGGCTACAATGGGCCAATCAGCATAGAGACTGGTGTGCTGATTGGCAGCATGTCGTGTTTTCTGACGAATCCCGCTTAACTTGTGGTACCATGATGGCCGCATTTCGTGTCAACGCTATGCCGGTGAACGCCACCTTCCGGAGTGCATTATCGAACGCCACAGTGGACGAACACCCGGAGTTATGGTCGGGGCGCCATAGCATATCATAGACGATCTCAATTGCTACGAATTGTGGGCAATCTGAACAGTAAACGGTATATCCGTGAAGTTCTACAGCCCGAAGCTGTTCCCTTCCTTCAAGCTTGCCAGGCGCTGTATTTCAACAGGACAATGCCCGCCTCATACTGCTCGGATTGTTAAATCCTTCTTTGCAGCGCAGCAGGTACAGCTTCTTCCTTGGCCGCGTGTTCCCCGATATGTCGCCAATTGAACATGTGTGGGATGTCATGGTCGGCATCTTGCTCGTGATCCTCGTCCTGTTGCGTCTGCAGACGAACTTTGGGTACGCGTACAAACGATGGAATGCTCTTCCTCAGTCAGACATTCAAACTTTGTTGAATCCATGCCACGTCGTGTAGCAGCACTTATTGCGGCGCGTGGTGGCCACAAAATACTGATTCTGATCTCTTGTTCTTGTTTGTTTGCTTTGAACATTTAATCATTTATTTGTACCACTACCACTCAACTGTGTATTAAATTGCATTCAATTATGACGATTCCTTCTTGGTGTTGCAATTTTCACAAACGTGAGTGTATTTATACTAGGGAATCTTTCCTTCACATCTGCAAAATTTGGGATCAGTGAAATCAACAGTTAATTTTGTAACTATATTTTTCGGAGTATTTATAGAATAATCAAACTATAAAGATTTATTTATGTTAATAAATAGCCACCTTTATTTATTTAATTATTTTAAAACTTTGTTTTTCAGCAAATCCTAAAAAATTATTCCTGTGCAGTATAAAAATAATTGTACAAAATGTCGTAAAAAATTGGATAGAAATTCCGTCAATACTTTTTAAAATAATACTTATGGAGCTATCAATCTTAACTATAATTAAATGACCTTCCATATATGTTTTTAAATAAGTCTCTGAAAATTTAATTCTATACATTATTTAAAACAAACAAATCTAAACATTTAACGAAAAGCGCGTATTCAAACCTGAAGCAAAGTCACGGAAGACTCTGACACCTTCCATAATGTTACTCCATAGCTAACCAGGCTATGTTCTTCCAGTTGGCCGGCTTGGAGATTGCAACTGTACCTGTTTCTTACCCAAGGCGATATTCGCGCTATGATTTAGAGTATGACAAGAGAGAGGTGTGACATGGTGGTGTATTTAATTATGGCAACGCACACTAGGGCTATCTGCCTAAGGGGAGGGATGCCTTCGTGGAGGACTTTCTAAGGGAAACTGGCTCGTATACACGTTACACATAGGGAAAACCATGAAAACACCCATGCAGCCAGCCAGTTCGTGGAATTTGAACCTCGGACTGAACTACCAGTGTTCAGCGACTTTACCGCTCAGCTGCTGGTGGGCTGACAAGCGAGAGGAAAGTTGAGGTTTGGACATCATGAAGCAAGGTTGTTTCAAGAGGGGCGTAGCCGAATACCTCAATGAGCATATACGGGACTTCGAAATTCAACGAGCCGACTTTTCCAAGCTAGAAGACAGTATGCCCATCGAGAATACTGGAGGTAGCACTGTTCTGCTTGGATTATTTTACTGTGCTAGGAGATTTAGCAAGGACTAATCTTTCCGAATATGCTGTTGTTTTAGCACAGTACATTTGTAACCATTTAGAAGTACTATGGATTAAGTGTTATCTACATATCAGATTGATGTAATCTTAATTTCATTTACATTTTTATTAAAATTCTGGCTATTGCTTTATAACTTGAGTTTGGAATCATTTCAACCCTAAAATACAACAGAGGCTTTGGGTAGCATGTTTGACCACTACACCACACTATAAATGATTCTTTTGATCCTAATGAAAAAATAATACTAAAAAAAATTTTAAATAGTATAAATTGGTCAAATATGATATATTTAGTCTTTATTTACATAGTACAAAAAAATTTGAAAGAAAAAAAAAAGTTTTAAATATTTTCAAATATTTTAGAAATTACCATGTATAATTTTGAGTCTAGCTCCATAAAGGAGTTGGTGTAAAAAACATGATGTTGAGCCACACTGGACATATGTTAAAATTATACTCACAAATTTTAAATTATCTAACTTGGTCAAACATCAAACATAATAACTTTAGTCTTCCTTTACATATTACAAAATATTTGAAAGGGGAAAAATAGGTTTAAACATTTAAAATTATTTTAGAAAATACAATGCATAATGTCAAGTCTAGCTCAACAAAGGAGTTGGTGTAACAAATATTATGTCAAGCCACACTCAACATAGGAGCCCTAAGGGTTAATACACAGGCATTATTCTGAGCCCTGTAGTTTAGTTCGATGACTTTTACATATCTTAAATCTTTAGTTAATTCTTCTTTATTTCAGTTACCGCCCAAGCAGAGGCATAGTTTGATAGCGTCGAGTTGGAGCATTGTAAATTTTATAGAGTTAATAAAGGGTACTTTTAACCTTTCTTCCATGCAGTTACTACTTTTAAGTTTTCACACAGGAGTTACTCTAGTGGACTCTACAAAATAAACTTAAGTTTTTTTGAAACATTAAACCATTCTCTTAAAAGAAAAATTAATGCAACACAAGAATGACAGCATTATTTTCTTTTATATAGTATGTAAGGATTATGTTAATTTTATTAACAGTTAAATTTTGAATTAAAGTTCCTTTCCTATCGATTCTTAACTTCAACCGACCACTTTCGGCCAGAACGTAGTTTTAAATGGTCTATAACAACGAAAATGTTTTTTAAAAAAAATCTTCTGAGAGAAACAAACAATGAGCCCAAGTGTCTAGGAGGGCAGTAATAGGCACGTTATTTACAAGAACATGTATCTCAGGCATGACTAGATTTTGCACCACCACTGTATTGAGACTAATTTATGAGGGACTTTTCTTCCCTCTCAGCGACCGTTGTCCCTTCTCAATCACCGGTTTGCGTTTAAATTCTGGTTCCCCGCCCCTTCTTTACGCCGATTTTTATATCCGCCACCCTTAGATTTATCCGCACTGTTGTTATTCTAATTTCCACCTTTTCCAGTCTGCCGATATATATTCTGCTGAACTTGCGGTTTCTTCTGAGGAGCAAACGTTGAATATTGGCCAAACTGACTTGCACGTGCTTTCTCCGAGTTCCTTCTACTTTGGAATTTCAACACGAGCTGGAATAGAACTTCTAATGTTTGCAGGTTACAGACTTTAATGTTTGCAGGTTACAGACTAATCCCTTTATACCAGCTGAAATGCAGGTCCAGTAGCTCCAGGAAGGTCATCACTGAGCCTTTGCCGTGAAATCTTGCGGCTGGCTTCATCGCCGCACGCATTGTTTCTATGATAAATCCAAATCCTTCCATTGGATTTGTGGAGGTCTGAGGAACCTAAAAGGTAAGAGGGGTCAACGTAAATTTCCCAAACTCTAACGACATGGTCCGTTGCCAACTTTTCGGGAGCCAATTGTAGAGTTTCTCACTTTGAAAGTCTAAATTACTGTTGGAAGTGAAGAATCTTACGAACTGATAAGCAAAAAATCGCTTGATTTCGTGTGACAAGAAACAACAAGTTAGAAGGGTAAACTAACTCTTTATTATTCCAACTAAGGTTTAACAAAACTCCGTCATGGAGTGTACAATAAAGCCGACACTTCGGCTTGAACTTAAGAGACTAAGAATAATACTAACTAAAGAGATATAGCCGAAGCTATCAAGATTCTAACAAAGTTGGTCCCTTAACGTTAACAGACTGCGAAGCTATCAAGGGCCTAAAGTACGGCCGAACATAATAATAGCTTACGAGGGAGTAGCCTAAAAAGGTGGATGCATGCAGCCAGAATACCTAGTATCTCTCTCTAAGACCAAAGAAATTTGCGATTAAATACTGCTCTTTCTCATTATGTATGCAGACGTGATCCTAAAACTATGTTCTGACCGGAAGTGGTAAGTTGAAGTTAAGAATTGATAGGAAAGCAACTTTAACTTAAAATTTAACTGTTAATAAAATTAACATAATCCTTATAGGTACATAATGAATAATTTAAGTATTCTCGATTATGATGAATTTTCAAAAGCAGACAATGAATGGTTAAGTAATTCAAATAAATAGGTTTTCAAGTACTTAAAACAAATTAGTACCACTTTTCTTTCTGCAATATAATGCAAGAAAATATAGCCATCTAAGATATAATGCAAACATTATAAAAATTCACACATACTTAAATATTTTTGCCAGTCACAACACAGAGATATTTAAAAGTACATACGTCAAATGGGCCTTTATCCTTATTCATTTTTTTAACTTTTTCGAAAAGAAGCTCAAACCGTCCAAGAACATCTCCAGCAACCAGTCTAAAAAGAAAAAATAATAATGTTTATATACATAGATTAATGATACTATTTTACAAATACAGTAGAAGATCGAAAATCTGCAATGCCTGGGCCTAAAATGTCAATAGTGAAATGTGGATGATTAGGTGGCATTTAGAGATTAACGGCTTTTAGTTTCCTCATTCACTATTAAAGCATGTTACCATATTCTATTAATTACTGCTTTTTCCACCGTCGACAAATAAATATTTAAAAATAACTTACACTGGAAAGAGTATTAAATATTTGGACTCACTATGTTTGATCCCCTGGCACATTTTTCATGTGAAATTTTAACGAAGAAACTGAGATGGAGTTTACAAACGATAAAAGGTCTATTATTAAATTCTTCCCGGCAAAAGGAACTACCCATGCTGTGAAAGAATATTCGCTGCCCTGTTGGCATGGTGGCACATGCCTTTTGCAGCATGGAGGCCCTCACCTAAAAGTCCTCGCGAGAGGTTAGTGGTTGGGGAAGAGGAATCTCTCATCCATCCCATGCGATGCTTTCCTTCAATATCGGGACAGAAACAGGCAAAAAGTTGAGCTGTCACCTGTAAAGTGCCCAAAGCCTCGGACAGTGACCAGGTGCTCATTTCCTCTTGGCCATGATAAATTTATGAACTTGATTCAGATCCTCCCAAATCAGAAGCATGAAAAGCAAAAACAAATTCTGTTCAATAACACACAAAAAAAATATATGTTTTAGAACCAATAAAAGATCGAAATGGTCAAATCAGGCCACACGAAGGACAGCGAACTCGAAATTGGTTTGCTCGAATTATTCACATAAAACTCATATTTATATAAGAGTTTCATGCTCATTTTTAAATACTGTCCTCAAACATTAATGCACAATTATATTTTCGAGCAGCAGTACATCTTTATCACAAAACTATATTTTTGAACAACACTGTCTTAAAAAAATTATTAGGATTGCCATTACTATCTCTGGCTATATTTAGCACTGAGTTTCATGTTGGGCGACGACCACTACCCCATTTTAAAAAAAGTGCAATAACTTTTTTACAATGATTTGAACTAAAAGTAGTACTTTTCATTGTATCAGAATTTTAAATAAAGCTTGAACATTCTAGCGAATATCTTTCACATGCTTTTTACACTTTTGCTTTTTATGCAAAATTATAATATATTTACGATATCATTCCTTATGAAAAAATCAAAAGAAAATAAATAGCTCCTATGTATTTCTCGTGAACTTGTTTTCATTTACTCTGTTCTTTTTCGGTTTAGTGATTTTGCATTTTTGATTTGAAATGATTTAAAATCCTCATTATCTCATGTCTATGTAAGGACTTTTGGTCTTCTACTGTATTTATATAAACATACATACTGTAGTGTTAGCACAATTCGTAAAACATTATTTTTAATGTACCTTAATGGCCTTTCCACTTTTTTTTACTAAAGACCGTGCTGCTTCACTTTTTATAGTGATAGAAAATTCTGTTAGCAATCAAGCATAAGAAAAGCTAAATCTGTTCTGAAGTTTAATACAACTGAACAGAAATATACTATAAACTTTTCCTTTTATATCCCCCTTTACCATCATTTTGAAAAACATGCATATATAATAATTTCATGTAATGCAGCACTAAAGGAAATAGAACTTTTACAGCACTAGAAATAAAAATCTTAACAAATTTATTAATTTAATGACCAAATAAAATCAGCTTTTCTAGCATAGATGAACAGAAAAGAAATGAAGTTCATTTCTGGAAGATTTCTTGAGCACAAAGATTTAAATAAATACCTTAATAAATCAGTATTAATTAACAACTAATATGTTGAAAAATGCCATAAAAAACTGTCGATATGTAAGGATTGTTCTCCTTCCGTACTGTATTCCTTTATACTGTTATTGGAAGCACGCCTAGCTGGTAATAGAGAGACCTGGAATTCGAATCCTGATCAGGGTGTCGCAGATTTTTCACACTCCCTGCTTTGAAAAACCAAGATGACTTTACAAGTGGCACTCCAACAAAAATGAGGTGGACGATAATTTGTCGCCATCAGCATTTGGTGACTGAAGTTCCCTCCTTCCCTCTACAAGTAAAGGAACTATCTTTACTCTGCAAGTAAAGGAAAATGTTTCTCCCCGCATGCGATTTTTCATGTTTCCTGCTTTAAAAAACCCTAATGACTACAGATGCACAAATCTATAATCTTTGAAATTACCTTTCAAGCATGCATAAAATAGCACTTACTATATTTTAACCACTTTACAATTAATAAATACTGAATGCTAATTATTACAAAAAAAAACAACTACTTTAATATTTAGTGATAAATCTAGACGATTTCTTAATTAAATTAACTCCCTTTACATAGCGCGAAATTCTGTTTAACGTCTGATGAAACTTTGTGTGTTTATACATACACTGACGAAACAAAACATTATGACCATTCCTACATTTTTCAATCAACTTGTCTGGATGACGTGGATGGTCTGCAATTAAGTGGGAATGGTTTTTAATTGCTGCTGGAGAAGGTAAGGAATCATTCTTGCACTTAATTTTATAAGTGATGGGAAAAGCTGTTGATCTAAGCAAATTTGATAAAGGGCAGATTGTAAAGGCCCGAAAACTCGGAAGGAATATCTCTAAAACTACAGGACTGGTAGGTTGTTCACGATTTGCCACTGTTAGTATTTAACCACTTGCGCTAAAAAGACATGCCACGCACGTCGAGATGCTTTTGTCTCAAACCACGAGTGACGTGAACAACACATCGATAGGCATTTATTGCAAAAATAAAAATAACGTGGTGCACATGTCGCTTAACAACGAGATTGTTTATTTCTCGAGTTACAGCTCTGGATTGCACTCGCAGACGCCGAGCGGCATAAATGAGACACTTTACCACTTGTTATATTGTAGTGCACGGCACCGCAACTGTGCAGTTTAGTCGTAGTGCAAGTGGTTAAGCAAAGTGGATAAATGACGTTGAAACCAGCAGTAAATGCCAAGGTGTTGGACGTCCCTGCGTCATCAAAGAAAAAAGATGTTGCTGTCCCGCTTGGTACAGCAACATTGGCGCCAGACAGTAGCTCTGCTTAGTATTTTCTCCCTTCTTTTGGCATGCCCTTTTGGTGTAACGGTAGTACACTCGATACGTATTTGAGAGCTTCAGGTTCGAGTTCCAGCTAGGGCATTTTTTATGTCTCCAGTATTAAATTAACCTAATGACTCTTTATTGGCACCCGAACGAAAAGGTGGTGGATGATGTTTCTTCACCACTAGGATTTGTGGATTGGCTCTCCTAACCTCCACTCGCCCTTTAAAAGGGAGTTGTTTATAAGGTATTTTCTCCCTTTCTGCATGCCTTTGTGGTGTAATGGTAGTACACTCGGTGCGTATTCGAGAGATCCAGGTTAGAGTCCCAGCGAAGGCAATGCTCATTTTTCATGTCTCCAGCATAAAAAAAAATCTAATAACCCAACAAGCTGACAGCCCAATACAATACAGGTACGAGTGCAAGTGTTTTGGAACATACAGTTCAGCAGACACTGAAGGATATTGGACTGCGCAGCAGACGTCCCACTCATGTGCCTCTGTTTAACAAGGGTCATAGCGAATTACGTCTACTGTGAACCTGGGACCACCGAGATAGAACCATAGGAAGACAGTTGTCTGGTCGTATGAATCAAGATTTTTCATTCATCACGTCGATGGTCGTGTCAGGCTACGCAGTCTTCCAGTCGAACAGTTGCTCACCCCTGTACAGCAGGTCATATACAGATCATACATTGGTGGTGGCAGTGGTATTATGATTTAGGGGACGTTCTCGTGGGTGGCTCTGGGTTGTTAGAATACACCATGAAAGATGCAGACTACCTGAACATTACTGCGAATCAGTTGCACTCTTACATGGCGTACGTCTTCCCAACTCGAAATGGACTCTTCCATTAGGACAACGCCCCATGTGACAAGGCTCGAATTGTGTTGGGAGTGGTTCAAGAAACATAAGGATGAATTCCAATCAATATCCTGGCCATCTAACTCGCTGGGACAGGGCATTAACTAATTGTTAATTTTAATGCAGAAAGTGTAATAATGAGAAAATCAACTAGATGTGCAACAATCGAGATGATTTTTGTGTCAGAATAGCCGAATGTTGTAATCTGCCAACAGACTGCACTGTTTAAAAGACGCCTGAAGAGGGCGCAGAGTTGGGTGAGCGAGAGAATGTAAGAATACATATGTTCGATTTGCCAGTATACGACTGGATTTATATATGTAAAAATGATATATTGCATTAAATTAAAATTAGCCTCTCAGCTGCTCATATTTACTAGAAATTGCCAAAGCTTCAAATTGTCACAATTTTCTCCTCAATTCAGATATCGAATCAACTTCTAAACTCTTTTCAACCTGTATCAAAATCTGTACAATATTAAATGTTTCTGGTGCATTATATGGCGTTTTCAGATTCACACACAGACTACCCCAACATACTTTCAACTTTTAAAGATTTTCTTTGCAAAACTGTTTGATAGAATCAGTACAATACTTTTTCGTATGTTTTTGAATAACATTATTAAGTTTCTTAACTAACAAGAAATGAAAAAAAAAAATAATAATTACGTTTGGACATTGATAAGTTTACTAACAACTGTGTAAAAAAAGAAATGAAATTAATTATTTTCTTTTACACATAGAGTTTATCTTATTTCATACATATATTTTATTTGCATAATAGTCGTACTATTCGCATGCGAGAGCTACGGGTGGCTCGCGAGCTATGCCATGGCCAACCCTGTAGTGGGATTCAGCATCAGAAAGAACATACGTGTGTCAACCCATATCAAGAAAACATTTTACCAATTGTAGGCAAAAAAATGATTGATAATTCACACTTTGCATCTTCAAACTTTTCGACTGACCAAATTTAAAAGGAACGATTTGCATTAAAAAATAACTACGATTCCACCACTCTGACTAGAGAAGCTCTTGGAATCAAAA